ATCAACCTCCACTAAGAAAAGAAAATGGAACATCTTGCCCATATGAGATAGTGATAAAGCTAATCTTCTGGCCAAAAACATTGAAAAAGTTTTTACTAACACAACTAGTAAAAAAAACAGCTACTACCAATAGCAGAAAACCATTTTACATCACATATCAACAACACGATACGACTTGTAACTATTGTGGAATTAATAAAATAATCAAACACAATAAAACCAATGGAAAAGCGCCAGGTTCTGATTTAGTTACAACTAAAATTCTTAAGGAGCTAACAACAAATGCTATTGAATTTATTAAAAATATTTTTAATGCTGCAATAAGGTTGAAATATTTTCCTAGTGTGGAAAGTCGCTACTCAACCGACTTCTTATAAACGCATTAGCTTATTGCCTAAACTTTCTAAAGTTTTTGAAAAAATTATATACGATAGACTGGAACCAATACTAAAAGTAATTCAAGCCATAGCAAACCACCAGTTGGATTTCGGCGCAATCATTCAACAATACAGCAAATCCATAGAGTGGTGAACAAAATCCTAATAAACTTAGACGAAGATGGCTTTTGTGTTGGTGTATTTCTCGGTGTTGAAAAAGCCTTTGATAAAGTATGGCACAAAGGACTTTTACACAAATTAAAAAAAATGTTACCCCATAACTTTTACGAACTCATTTAAAGTTATGTTACTGAACGATGCTTCTGTGTTAAATACAAAAACGAGTATTCTACAATCAGAAAACTCCAAGCAGGTTTCCCCCAAGGAACCGTATTGGGCCGCCTACTGTACCTTCTCTATACTTTAGATATACCTGAACCAACCAGTAAAAACCCAATGCTAGCAACGTTCGCAGATTACACAGTACTGCTTCCAACTTCCAAAATGCAACAAACAATTAATACGACTAAAAATGGTTTAACAATTGGGAAATAAAAATCATCGAAAACAAAACTTCACAAGTAATATTTACAACTAAAACAAAATTTTAGTCAATAGCTATCACCCTTAACAACAAACCCATTCCAGTAATCGAATCAGCAAAATATCTGGGTGTACATTTTGACTCTAAACTAACATGGAAAAATCATATTGTGAAAAAGCAGTTACAAATTAAAGAAAAACAAAGACAATTGTATTGGCTACTGAATAAAAAATCTAAATTTAGTTTAAATAATAAAATCCAACAATCAACGAAGAAATCAAAACTAGAAGTAGAAAATATCACTCAGCAATCACTGTACATAAAAACTCCAATATTAGCTTACTCCCTATAGTTGAGCTCACAAGAAGTCACAGACTTAAAAAAACACGCCCAGTGGACTTTGATCTTAATTAAATTAATTTTATTATCAATATTTATAAATTTAATAGCTTTTATTTATATCTACTCCCCAACTAATATAAATTTCTGTTGTTGAACAGATAGTCGATAAACTTTTCCTTAACTTAATTGAATTTTAAAATATACTTAATGTCTTCAATAAACTAGACCAATGTATACTTACTATGGAAAATAAATAAAAAAAAAATATGAAGTATCTTAGTGTAGCCGTCGATATTCTCAGTAATTACAGTAACCTGGATTACAATCCAAATATATTGAGAATGCAAAATTTGGAAAGTTTTAGTAAGAAAATTATTTTCCATAAAGAAAATTATTTTCCCAGAAGAAGTTTCTAGTTTCACAATAAATAACTTTCACATTTAAATATAGTCTCTGTGCTTTTAATTCCATTCAAGTACAGAAACCACGCTATATATTGGTGACCCCGACGTGATCTAAGCACGCAACAGACGAACACGCAGAATTTTTATGTGCTTAAATATGTTAATATCGTAGTGTAGTTCATAAAGTTCACCTTTCCATCAAATTCCCAACGCTTAAAGGAATATACACGAATATTCTGACGAATTTTTGTCTCAAATGCTCTTAACACCTTCTTTTTATTGAACCAAAGCGAACTTATCAACTTTCAATTTGTATTCTTTTCGTCAACCTCATCACCCCCGATTTGGCTGAAAATTTTTTTATGAACCTCCTGTCATGAAGTAGTAAGACCCGTACCTCGGGAAAAAATTTTGTGATTTTTACAAAAATATATGTAAATGTAAATTATAAAATTGTAATGCTTTTATAAGCATAGGCTAAAAATGTTAAGGCAGATTTAAGAAACTTAAAATTTAATAAACATATTTATTTATTATACTAAAACGAAAGTTTTTTTTATTTGACTTGCATAACATATAGTGACGTAGTCTTTCCCTAGTTCGATATTTACATGAAGGTTTTTTGCAGGTGACATCATCAACAAAGAAGTGATGATGCATGAGCCCTCAAGACCCCCTCTGCCAGGAATGTAGTATATCTCCGTCAATTTGTGTGCTTCTCTCTTACACACAATGTATTTGTTCAGTTATGAAAAAAGAAAGTAATTTAAAATGGGGTCTCATATTAAATTGATTAAATTCTGGCCAAGATGGACAATCTTACGATAAATTCGCAGAAATACACTCATTAAGTGAGTCGGAAAGGAAAGATAAATATACTATTACGATAGTCTTCACAAAATACGCAACTCAGTGTATAATCACATTTCCCTTTGTGTTCAATATAATGTTCATTTTAATAATATGTATAATTACCAATAATTTAATCATAGATTATTATAATGTATCACACTATCAGAATAGCATAATGTTAAAATCAAAGGAAAATGTAAAGGAAACATAAATTTGAAGGCTTCCATAACAAAAGTATAAATTATGTACCTGATAGTGAGTGAGTATTTTAATGTTCTAATTAAATCATTTGATATGTTGATATTGTGGCGACCCAGTAGGCTATGCTTTTATTGAATTTAAAAAGGAAAATTCAATTTTAAATATTTTAAAGTTTCAGTTTGAGATTGTGGAAAACGTTTCCATTTTTCTCTCTTGTAAAAAGTTTGATTAAAAGATTATTAACATCATAAATTTTGAGAGTTTTATTTATTAGCAAGGTTAATAGACCCTAGCTAAATTGGTGACCCCGACGTGATCTGAATGAACGGTTACGTTTTTCAAAATTAATTGAAATATATTATTGCGAGCAACACTTTCAAACAGCATGTCTTTGCCAACGAGCAACGAAGCCGCAGCGGTGCAACGAGAGAACGAATTACGGGAAGGTAATCTGAATCGTGTGTCCGTCAAGGTACCGCCATTTTGGCACGAAAGACCAGAAATTTGGTTCGCGCAAATTGAGGCGCAGTTTGCAGTCGCCGATATAACTAATGACGCTACGAAATTCAACATTGTCGTTGCAGCGATCGAGTCCAGCGTTGTTGCTGATGTAGCCGATGCCGTTTTACATCCTCCGGCAACTGGTAAATACAGTAATTTTAAGAACCAGATTTTAGAGCGGTTTGGTGAAAGTGAACAACGCAAGATTCAGAGGCTCCTTTCTGAGGTCGAATTAGGAGATCGTCGACCATCGCAGTTATTAAATGAGCTGACAGCGCTAGCGAAGGATAAAGTCAGTAGCGAATTCCTGAAGTCACTTTGGCTCCAGCGTCTGCCTCCGCAGGTACGTGCCATTTTGCAGACATCAAATGTTGACCTGGTAGAATTGGCTTAACTGGCTGATAGGATTTGTGAAGCGGGCGATTACCATCAATTAGCTGCAGTGTCATCTCGTGTAAGTAACGATTCGAACGAGACAGCCAGGTTGTGCCAGCGTTTGGATCAGATTGAGCAGCGATTGAGCAGATTGGATTTTGTTGGACGCCAGCCGTCGAGAATGCGACAATCCTCACGCAGAAAGAGTCGAACGCTATCGCAGTCCTCAAACCACTCTGGTTGGTGCTGGTTTCACAGTAGGTTTGGAGAGCAAGCACGCAGATGCCGTCAGCCATGCACGTTTACATCTAATTCAAAGTCAAAAAACTAAGCATGCCGCAATCGACGTCGAGCCGATTGGAGAGCAACGCAATTATAGCTCGACTGACAGTACAAGATCCGGCGACGTCAACCGCTTTTCTTATTGACACCGGAGCGGATCTGTCTGTACTACCCAAAAAATTCGGTACCAAACGAGGTAAGTCAGTTGCTTTATCTTTACCCAGCTTATTTGCTGCTAATGGCACGCCGATACGCGCATACGGCACCAAACGTTTGTCGTTATCCCTTGGTTTAAGGCGCGATTTCCCATGGACGTTTGTGGTGGCGGATGTAAATTTTCCCATAGTCGGCGCAGATTTCTTGAGGCATTATGATTTACTGGTTGACATGAAACGGAAGCAGCTAGTAGACAGCAAGACGTTTGTAGCAGCGAGAGGCGCGGCAGCAGTTGGGCAGGTGAACGGCATCCGAGCCAACATTAGTGCAGGTGACTACAGTTCTTTGCTGAATGAATACCGTGATCTAGCCACATTGCGTGATAACTCCCGCACGTGCGACACGCAAGTTGAACATTTCATCGAGACCACTGGTGCTCCAGTTTTTGCCCGTCCACGACGTTTGTCTGGAACAAAATTGGAGGAAGCAAAGAAGGAGTTTGAATTTTTGTTGCGAAAAGGCATTTGTCAGCCGTCAAAGAGTCCTTGGGCGAGCCCATTGCATATGGTTAAGAAGAGTGATGGCTCGTGGCGACCATGTGGTGACTATCGTATGTTGAATGCGAAAACGAAGCCGGACCGGTACCCGATCCCTTTCCTGCACGATGTAACAACCATCCTTCATGGAAAGAACTTATTTTCTAAGGTTGATTTACAGAAGGCATATCACCAGATTCCAATGGCAGAATGCGATATACCGAAAACAGCGATTACTACTCCTTTTGGGTTATTCGAGTTCCGTTGCATGACATTTGGTTTACGTAACGCAGCCCAGACATTTCAACGGTTTATTAATGCAACCTTGGCTGGTTTAGATTTCGTTTTCGCTTACATCGATGACATATTGATTGCTTCAAA